ATATACCCCTATATAACCCCTACAAAACCCTTATATACCCCTACATAATCCCTATGTAACCCCTATATAACCTCTATATAACCCCTATAATCCCTTCAAAGCTAAACCCTAAACCCTAAACCCTAGGGTTCTAATCGTCCTCGTGGAAGTAGGACCCCTGGCCGAATAGTGGGGCAAAGGCATCCAGCTCCGGCTCCTCGACAGGGAAGCCATGCTGGAAGATGTACATCACCTTGGGTTTAGGGTGTAGGACTTATGATAAGGCTTAGGGTTTAGGGTGTGGGGCTTAGGGCTACTGGTGGTCGGGGTTTAAGGTTTAGGGTTGGAAGTTTGGGCCTTTTTAGGACTTTAGGGTTTAGATGTACAAAAAATTACTTGGAGGTTCAGGGTGACTACAACGCCACTACAAAACTGCACTTGTAGCCCCAATGATACGAAATGTTATAACTTGGTTATACCTACCCTGAACCTCTGTGCACTGGCATCAAGGGGTCTAAGCTTCAGGGCGTAGGGCTGAAGGCTTCAGTTTAAAAATATGCTAGATTACATGTGGTACAAGGTTTTTTAGCTACTAGACAATGAAGGAGTAGGATATGCAGGATTATATCTAGTCTGCTATGGTGATCCAGCCCGCCATCCGACGCTAATCACCAGCAAGTCATAGCAAGTCACTCTCTGCGGCGAGCTGCCGTAGAATAAGTACACCTTGACCATGGCTTCTTTCACAGCATCACGTTCAAAAACCCAGATCAATATGTGCACTTACCAGCTTTCCTAAAGAAACCCATGTACACGCTAAAAAACCAGTTAAGTAAAACCATAAGTAAGCCTTAAACCGTAAAGCCTTAGCCTCACCACCTTAGTGGGAATTGCAGGTGATCATAGCTTCAACTGCCTTCAGAATCTGAGGTGGCATCCGTTTATGCGCGCCGAAAAGCACAGACACTGCAGCAACAGAAGCAGAATGAGGAAATCACTGGCGCCGGGAGGAAGACAACAAACAAAACGGAGCCAAGCTAGAAACAGTATCTACGCTTTGTGAATTGCCATCGAAGGTCCTTACTCAATTAGAGACTGCTTCAAGGTTTCACTAGCTCCTCTCACAGTGAAGGGATTGTTTACCTTGCATGCTAAAAGATGTCAAAAGAAACTCTTGGGCAATGCACCCAATACTAGACACCCTGAACCCTCAAGCCCATCCCAACAAGAACCTACAAGCTAAAGATGCTCAATGGCAATCACGGAAATTACGTAGTACCCTGCCCTGAGATATGCCTGAAATCCGGCAGAAATGGGGACAAACCCTAAACCCTAAAACAACGCCTCGTTGAGGTTGTCCTTCAGGCGCCGGTGCTCTCGCTCCGGCAGGGCCTCCATGCTCGAGGGTGTGGATTGCATCAAGGATTTAGGGTGGTTTCCCAAAGTTAGGGTTACTTTGGGTGGTCGCCATCATAAGGATTGTAGTATATTGGAACTTACATCTTATTACGGTCCTCCTTTTTAGGGTTTAGGGTTTTGGGACCCTTTGGTTGGACACCAGGGTCGCAGAGGCCTTTACAGGACCAAGTTACCCAAAAAGGGGTCAAAAAAAAGGCTAGATATGAAATGATATCTAAACTCCTGGTATCCCCCTTAATAACCACTATAGTAGTCCCCTATATAATCCCCTATATAACCCCCCTTTAAGGAGTTTAGATTATGGTTCATATGAAATGATATCCATTGGGTCTGACTTTTGAGTCCCACCTTACGTCCTTGGAGCTGTAGATGCAAGGAGCACCCAGGGTTTAGGGTTTAGGGTTTAGGGTTTAGGGTTTAGGGTTCAGGGTTTAGGGTTCAGGGTTTAGGGTTTAGGGCTCAGGGTTCAGGGTTTAGGGTTTAGGGGTTTGGGGACTATATCATCAAGACCATGGGGACAACTGGGGGAGACATGGGCTCTGGAGTTCATAATGGATTGGGGGCTCTAAGGGTCCATGTACCCAATAATTGGGAACCTAAGGTTTTGGTAGTAGTAATTGTAGTACAGGTTTTGGGTAAGTATCTGATTATTGGGTAGTCTGCCCTAAACCCTAAACCCTACACCCTGGAGTTGTGTGAATTTTTGGTTTCCCACCTCTGGGGTCCCTGTCTGGGACATGTAGACCCAACCCCTTTCCTTGAGATATATATAACGTCCCCCTTAAAGTAGATAGAATATGACTTTGGGTATATTATAGGGTCTAGGGTTTAGGGTTTAAGGTTTAGGGTTTAGGGTTTAAGGTTTAGGGATAGAATATGGCTTTGGGTATATTATAAAAAAGATCCCCATATACTCCATATTCTATCTACGTAAGGGGCC